AAAACTAGTAGGGCCTGTGTGTCAGGTGCCTGTAATCAGCTATTCGGGAGGCTGAGATGGGAGAACTGCTTGAACCTGGGAGATGGTAGTTGCAGTGAGCCAAGATTGCTCCACTGCTCTAGCCTGGGCAGCTGAGCAAGGCTCCATCTCAAAAAAAAAAAAAAAAAGCTGTGGAAATTACCACACAGCTGGTGTTTCCAGTTTGGCCAAGAGTTCATAATTAATTCTCAAATCACAATAATAATTATCTGTATGGGCCGGGCGCGGTGGCTCAAGCCTGTAATCCCAGCACTTTGGGAGGCCAAGGCGGGTGGATCACGAGGTCAAGAGATCGAGACCATCCTGGTCAACATGGTGAAACCCCGTCTCTACTAAAACTACAAAAAATTAGCTGGGCATGGTGGCACGTGCCTGTAATCCTGGCTACTCAGGAGGCTGAGGCAGGAGAATTGCCTGAACCCAGGAAGCGGAGGTTGCGGTGAGCCGAGATCGCGCCATTGCACTCCAGCCTGGGTAACAAGAGCGAAACTCCGTCTCAAAAAAAAAAAAATAATAATAATAATTATCTGTATAATATGTGTACATTTAGGAGTACCTAATAGGTACAGTATTTTAATGTTACAATCCTTTATACAGCAGAGGGAAAAAAATGGAGAAACCACAGTTTTAGTGGTCACTCATTTAAATAACACAAATCTAAATTTAAAATATCAAAAGTCTAATCTCAAAATATCTTCAGTAAGTCAACCAAATAAGTTTATTGGCTTAGGTGAATGATATTAAAAAAACGAAAACATACATTTGTTGAGTGTAGTCTGTGTGTAAGGCACTCTGAGTCTGTCCTCAAGGGGCTTATACAAGATAGATTTAATATGTGTCTGAAATATTATCTAAGAATTCTAATTTTGAAAGGTTAAGGTCATACCAAACATAGACACCACAGGATCCATTACTACTTCAGGCCTTAAATAAATATTGAGCAACAAGAAACAAAAAACTGCAAGATCTTGCTCTTCACAAATGGTTCAGAGCAAATTAAATGGTTTAAAAGTAAAATTACAAAAATATTTATAACAATTCATCATGACAAACTTCTGCTTCAATTAATATCAACTTAATTTCAGGGGATAACAGTATACTGGATATTGTCCAACACAGTTACCATTTGATAGGGTATCTTAATTTTGCAATACCTTCTTAAATGTTATGTAAATACAAACTGTACTTTAATTTATATGGGTTTCCTAATAAGTGGTATGTAATGTCAACAGGGATAGTGGCCTAGAGACATCAGTCTAGCTTTACCTGTATTCAAAAAGAACTATAAAAATGTGTGCTTTAGGAGAAAGGGTAAACATACTACTTACATAAAACTCTTAGAATCATAACTTTCTATAAGTTCTACAATCAGGGACATAAAAAATCAATACCTAAATAAGTTCATATGTTATTTATTTATATTTTGTTTATTCTTTCTTATCTTTTAGTCCTAAAATAGAATGTTTGGAATTACAAAAGGTTCAGATAACACCATAGAAGATAAAAAAAGATAAAATTACAAATGGAACACTATTTTGTGTATATTTGTTTTTAAAACTTTCTGAATCTGCATTTAATGAATTTTTGTTGAATGATTTGTGTTGAATATCTGTTACCTAGCCAAATGATAATTAATGAAAACAGAAACCATGATATTAAATATTATAGTGACGTATTATTATTGTATTCGGTTAGTTTTACAACTGTGGCACAGTAGTACCTAAAATTACTTTTTAAATATGTTTATTGTGAAATATAATTCGTATAATGTAGAAGGATGTGAATTGAAAAGTAAGTCTTCCTCTCTAAAGTTCTGCACTTAGAACAAAGAAAAATATTTAACAAGGGCCGGGCATGGTGGCTCACGCCTGTAATCCCAGCACTTTGCGAGGCGGAGACGGGCGAATCACGAGGTCAGAAGTTTGAGACCAACCTGGCCAACATGGCGAAACCCTGTCTATATAAAAAATTAGCTCGGCGTAGTAGCGGTTGCCTGTAATCCCAGCTACTTGGGAGGCTGAGGGAGGAGAATCCCTTGAACCTGGGAGGCGGAGGTTACTATGAGCTGAGATGGTGCCACTGCACTCCAGCCCGGGCGATAGAGTGAGACTCTGTCTCAAAAAAAAAAAAAGAGAGAAAGAAAAATATTTAACTAATGGCCAAAAACTTTGCATTGGTCTATGACATAAAATTACAAATTCAAAAAGCGCTGCAAATTGTCAACAGGGTAAATACGAAGAAAAACCACACCTACTAGTCAAATCGCTGAAAACCGAAAAGAAATCTAAAAAGCAGCCAGAGAAATAACGCATTAAATAAAAAAGATCAGCAACTCCAATGACTTTTTTCTCACAAGCTGCAAAGAAGGTCCAATATGAGTATAAAAAAGATAACATTGTACAATGGAATAGCAAATACAAAGGTAGTAAATATATATTTATAAAAATAAAGAGAAATCATTTCACAACTGGCTATAGTTCTTTCTTTTCTGCGCCTTCGTATCAAAAGTTTTCAGAGGGCTCAAGCTGGTAGACCCTGCACGTGTTCATTAGGCATCCCCATCCCAGATTTTTTTTAAACACCCAAACCCGCAGTCATTAAGTGACAAGACTTTTGTTTTCAACAATATAAACTACTTAAAACCTGGATATTATCTCTTTCTCCGGTTTGGAAGATCAAAAGGTAATTAATTCATATTCAGTAGAATCCCTTTCACTACATAGCTCCTACACAGGAAAAAAAAAAAGTAGGCTAAATAAACAACACTAGAACCAGAAGCTGAAAGGAGGTAAGCCGGGGCCTCGGGCCTCTCTGCAGGGCGTCTCCAGCCAAGGCCCAGCGCACGTACCATTCTTCGGCAAACTCTGGATCACCTTCACCGCTGCCTCAAACCTGGTCTCATGCACGGATCTCGTGTCCGCCATCTCCAGCCGCCAGCGCCGGCCCCGGTCCCAAGGTCTGTCGGCGGGAATCAGGCAGCAGCAGCACCAGCTTTCCCAGGAGCCTGCATGAAACTGGAACATGGAGCGCAGCCGCGGATCAACATGCCCCAAAAGGAGTAGGCCCGGGAGCGTAGCGGGTCAGTTCCCCTTTGCCCTGCCCTCCAGGCTACACGGATCAAGGCGGCTCGGCTCCTTCCTCCTCCCCCGGGGCGTGACTAAGGCCACGAATCCGGCCCGCGGCGACAGCAAAACAACTCACCGAGAGGAAGAGCATGTCTAGCAGAAGGCAGAGGGGGTCCGGGCACCGATGGCCGCGGAGCCGCTCTCCCACCCGGGGGACCCTGGCGGAGCAGCCACACCCCCCATTCCGCCGGAGTCCGTCTGTCAGTCCGCGCCCTCCCCACAGCCCCGCCCCAGAGTCACCGGAGGACGCACTGGCGCCGCCGCCGCCGCAGCGGCCGTGCAGCAAACCCCACCCACCGGCTCCGCCGCCGCGGCGAGGACGCGCGCGATCAGTCTGTCCCCAGAGGAGGGCCCGGGAAGCGGGGAAAGGAGGAGAGAGAACGCTCCAGGGTGCCACAGCCCCGGCTTTGTGCGGGGAGCCACCTGTGCTCACTTTTGTTCAGAAGGGGGAAACCGAGGCCGGACCGATATGTCCGCTCTGGCAGCCGGGTGGACGAGCGCTGGGGATGCGGGTTTGGGTCTGCGCCTGGGCCGGAAGCTGCGCGCGACGGCACCGCTGGGCAACAAAAATGACTCCGCGGTCCCCAGCGCCTGCACTCTCCTAGGTTAAGGTTTGAGGAAGGTAATGGGGCCTAAGCCAAGGGTTTTGAGTCGGGACAGGTTCTGTGCGAACCCCCAGTTCTGCCATTTAAGTTCTGTGACCTAGGGCAAGTCACTTAGCCTCTCCAGTGGCAATCGGGACACCACTCTAAAGGGTAGATGGAGGAAAGCATTGGGGACCTTAGATGGAGGTGCTCAGCAGTCCTTGGCCCGCGGGTCTTCGACAGTTCTCGCCGCCCTGAGCCAAGGACGTCTGAGCAGCAGCCAAAGGAGAGGGGAGTTCGCCGGCTCCTAAACTGGTGTGGGACGGAGGGCGACTTCCCCTCCACTAGCTTTCCACCCAGCCCCAGGGAGCCAATCACCACCAGGCGGATTTAATAGGAGACTGGGACTCAAGTGGCTCACACCAGTAATCCCGACACGTTGAGAGGCAGAGTGGGGAGGATCGCTTGAGGCCAGGAGTTCAAGACCAGCCTGGGCAACATGGCGAGACCCTGTCTCTATTTAAGGAACCAATTAATTTTTTTAAAAAAATTAAAAGTAAGATACTGGGCGTGGAGGGAGTGGCCAATGAGGAGCCTTTATGGATCATCAACCCTAGAAAGGGGGTACCCTGGGCCTTCAACTTACTAGCGCAACCCCCAGAGTCCTTAGGCATTTGGTAAATGTACCAGTCCCAAAGCTGCTGGGGGGACTGGCTAAGGTTGTGACGGTGGAGTCCTTTGGCCTGGAAATCCCAAAGTCTCCCGGATGGAAGAGTCGTTTTTGTCAGTTCGGGGGATGGGTTAGGAGGATTGCTAGTAAAAATCGAGTCGCAGAGCGTAAGTTACTCTTCCCTCGGAGCCGCGGCGCTGGCATTTACCTTGGTCTTGCAGGGCAAGGCCAGTCCGGTAATGTCCCCGATGCCCACCCCTCGCCCGGCCCCCGCGGGCTTATGGGAAATGTAGTCCCCCGCTCCGCCGCGCTTCCAGACACCTCACAGCCGCGGCCCGGGTTCCTGCCAGCTCTTCCGGTTCGGCGTTTGTGTCCGGCGGAAGCGCCCACCCTGCGGCGGAAATCCCTCCTTCCTAGCGAGTGGTTTGTGGTGTTTCTTTGAAATACCACATCGGCTTCTAGTGTAAGGGACAATTCTCAATGGTGTCTTTGAGAGCTATCCTCGTGTGACTGGGCTGGAATCAGAGCACTGGGGTCTAATTTCTTGCCCCCAATGCTTACTAATTTTTGGGTCTTTAATGAATGCCGAGCGCTGTTCTGGGAATAAAGACTGCCCGTTACTGTGTGCATGGTATTCGCAAAGGATGTAACATATTCCCAAAACGCTGTAGGGTGTTTACCAGTGATGAAATTCAGAGTCATATTAACTGCCTTGCCCAAGGTATCACAGTTTAGGAAGCAGCAGAGCTAAGAGTCAGTGAACCCAAAAAACTCTTGCTTTAAATCTTGGAGTTACTTTCTCAGCACACCAAAGGGAGATACTTACTCAGACTAGGAACACTTTTTGCGTTTAATGATGTGTGTGTGTGTTTTTATAGGCTCAGCGGGGGTTTGGGTGGTGCCCTCACTGTGTCGCCCAGGCTGGTCTGGAACTCTTGGCCACAAGCAATCCTTCTGCTTTGGCTTCCCAAAGGGCTGGGATTACAGACCTGAGCTACTGCTGCCCTCAGCCAAATTCTTTTGTTTGTTTTAGGTATGTTACCCAGGCAGGTCACAAATTCCTGGGCTCAAATAAATGATCCTTCCACCTCAGCCACCTGAGTAGTTAGGGTTACAGAAAGGAATCACCACACCCAGTTCTTCAATAATATATATTGTTTTCTCCACCCCTTCTCGTATAGCTATGCTGGTTTAGATATGGTAACTCCTGCTGGAACATATTAATGATTTGGTGGATTGAATCACTTCCCAAGGTGCCTTCCAATTGTGTCAACCTGTAATTCTACCTAAAATATGTTATCTCATGAGACACAAGTTCATGTCTTCCAGTATTTTCAGTACAATACCTAATAGGACTATTCTTGATCATGTATTTCTAGAGATGTTTTAGATTCAAAAGTAAAATAATACATGTATTGATTCCCCTCCCCTCAGACGGAGTTTCACTCTTGTTGCCCAGGCTGGAGTGTGATGGCGCCATCTCGTCCGCCTCCCGGTTCAAGCGATTTCCTGCCTCAGCCTCCCAAGTAGCTGGGATTACAGGCCCGCGTCACCTCCCGGTTCATTTTTTGTATTTTTAGTACAGACGGGGTTTCATCATGTTAGCCAGGATGGTCTCGATCTCCTGACCTTGTGATCCGTCCGCCTCGGCCTCCCAAAGTGCTGGGATTACAGGCGTGAGCCACCGACCCTGGCTGAAAAGAAAACATTTTAAAAACCAGACTCAGTGGCTCACGCCTGTAATCTCAACACAAACCAAGGCGGGCAGACTGTTTGAGCTCAGGAATTAGAGTCCAGCGTGGGCAGCATGTTGAAACAGCATCTCTACTGAAACAAAAACAAAACAATTGTTGGGCGTGATGGTGCGCGCCTGTAATCCCAGCTACTCAGGAGGCTGAGGCAGGAAAATTGCTTGAACTCGGGACTCGAGGTTGCAGTGAGCAGAGACTGTGCCACTGCACTCCAGTCTGGGTGGGGGAGTGAGACTCTGCTAAAAACAAAAACATACATACAGCCTATTGAAAAGCAATGAGAACAAATAAACTACAACTATTTAACATCTATGAATCTCACATAGTGTCAAGAAAAAGATTCAAAAGAGAACATACTGGCTCTCTGCTACTCCAGTTCACCAGACAGCCCTATCTTGTCCCCCATCGCCATCCACATCCCTGAGACACCAAGGGGAAGGTGAAGGTCGGAGTTAACAGATTTGGTCGTTTTGGGCGCCTGGTCACCAGGGCTGCTTTTAACTCTGGTAAAGTGGATATTGTCGCCATCAATGATCCCTTCATTGACCTCAACTACATGGTCTACATGTTCCAGTATGATTCCACCCATGGCAAATTCCATGGCACTGTCAAGGCTGAGAACCGGAAGCTTGTCATCAATGGAAATCCCATCACCATCTTCCAGGAGCGAGATCCCTCCAAAATCAAGTGGGGCGATGCTGGCACTGAGTACATGGTGGAGTCCACTGGCGTCTTCACCACCATGGAGAAGGCTAGCGCTCACTTGCAGGGGGGAGCTAAAAGGGTCATCATTATCTGCCCCCTCTGCTGATGCCCCCATGTTCATGATGGGCGTGAACTATGAGAAGTATGACAGGAGCCTCAATATCGTCAGCAATGGCTCCTGCACCACCAACTGCTTAGCACCCCTGGCCAAGGTCATCCATGACAACTTTGGTATCGTGGAAAGACTCATGACCACTGTCCACACCATCACTGCCACCCAGAAGACCGTGGATGGACCCTCTGGGAAACTGTGGTGTGATGGCCTTGGGGCTCTCCAGAACATCACCCCTGCCTCTATTGGTGCTGCCAAGGCCGTGGGCAAGGTCATCCCTGAACTGAACAGGAAGCTCACTGGCATGGCTTTCCGTGTCCCCACTGCCAACGTGTCAGTGGTGGACCTGACCTGCCATCTGGAAAAACCTGCCAAATATGATGACATCCAGAAGGTGGTGAAGCAGGCATCGGAGGGCCCCCTCAAGGGCATCCTGGGCTACACTGAGCACCAGGTGGTGTCCTCTGACTTCAACAGCGACACTCATTCTTCCACCTTCGATGCTGGGGCTGGCATTGCCCTCAACGACCACTTTGTCAAGCTCATTTCCTGGTACGACAATGAATTTGGCTACAGCAACAGGGTAGTGGACCTCATGTCCCACATGTCCTCCAAGGAGTAAGACCCCTGGACCACCAGCCCCTGCAAGAGCACAAGAGGAAGAGAGGCCCTCGCTGCTGGGGAGTCCCTGCCACAGAGTCCCCCACCACACTGAATTGCCCCTCCTCACAGTTTCCATGCAGACCCCTTGAAGAGGGAGGGGCCTAGGGAGCCCCACCTTGTCGTGTACCATCAATAAAGTCCCCTGTGCTCAGCCAAAAAAAAAAAAAAGAGAGAACATACCGTATTATATATGATTCTATTTCTATAAAGTTAAAAAATAGACAAAATCAATATATTAGAATTGTGGCTGGAGAATGCAGTATCTGCGAATCCAACAAGGAAATTTCTGGTGGTCTGGTAATGCTCTATTTCTTGAATTAGGTGTTTGTTACATGAACGTGTCCTCTCTTGAAATGGATATATTTAACTCTATTAAATGTATATTTTTAACTCTATTAAATGTTTACTTTTCTTTGTGTATATTATACTTAAATTAAAATTTACATCAAATTTTTATTTTCAAAAACCAAGTACCAGGCCTGGCACAGTGACTTACACCTGTAACCTCAACACTGGGAGGCCGAGGCGAGTGGATCACTTGAGCTCAAAAGTGATTCTTAGGCTGGTGCTGCTGCAAATTTAAAAAAAAAAAAAGAAAAAGAAAAAGGGTTGGGGAGCAGTGTGAGCAACATGGCAAAACTTCGTCTCTACAAAAAATACCAAAATTAGCTGGAGTAGTGGTGTGCACCTGTAGTTCCAGCTACTTGGAAAGCTGAGAGGCTGAGGTGGGAGGATATCTTGAGCCCTGGAGGTCAAGGCCATATTCGTGCCACTGCACCCCAACCTGGAAGACAAAGTAAGACCCTTTCTCAAAAAAAAAAAAAAAAAAGGGGGGGGGGACAGGCAGGTGACTTTCACCTGTAATCCCAGGATTTAGGAATGCCAAGGAGGGTAGATCACGAGGGCAGGAGATTGAGACCATCCTGGCCAACATGGTGAAACCCCATCTCCACCAAAAATACAAAACAAAAAAAAAAAAATTAGCTGGGCGTGGTGGCGCATGCCTGTAGTCCCAGTTAGTCGGAAGGCTGAGACAGGAGAATTGTTTGAACCCAGGAGGCAGAGATTACAGTGAGCTGAGATCGCTCCATTGCACTCCAGCCTGGGTAACATGAGTGAAACTCCGTCTCAAAAAGTGGCATGGAAACAATAGTGATTAAATGTATGTGACACAGATGGGGAACATATTACAGGTAAAGCAACATTTGAGCAGACTCTTCTGGGATGAGATGGTATTTATAAGCAGAGAGGATGGGAAGAGAGCCATTTTAGGGAGAGAGATAAAAGCTACCAGAGCATACCACATGTGATAAGCAGAAAATCTATCAAAGTGATAGAATCATAGATATGAGTGAAGGTGAGACAAAGTGTGAGATACAAAGCTGGTTAAGACTGACTTGAAAGTCATATATGCCATGCAAAGGGGCTTGGGTGTTGTTTATAAATCCATAAACATTATACATTTTAAGCAAGATATGGTGGCTCATGTTTGGATTCCCATCACTTTGGGAGGCTGAGACAGGAGGATCACTTGAGCCCAGGAGTTGGAGACCAGCCTGGGCACCAGTCAGACCCTATCTCTAAAGAGAAAAAAAAATTTTTAATTAGCTGGGCATTGTGTCACGTGCCTGTGGTCCCAGCTACTTGGGAGGTGGAGGTGGGAACATTGATGGAGCCCGGGAGGGCTGAGGACGAAATAAACCATGATTGCGCCTCTGCACTCCAGCCAAAGATTATATCTCTCAATCGAAACAACAAAGACTAGTATATATTTTTGCATCAGCTAGGGTTTAATAAGGGAAGCAGAACCACTGTGATAAATGTGGTATCAGAGATCTATTACAGAGATTAGACTTTATGTAATCATGGGAGCTGATGAAGAGGCCTATTGCCTCTGTGTCTATAGGGGCCTAATGTTGCTATAGGTTAGCCTATCTACTAACCAGGAACTGGTCTGAAGCAGGGAAGAGCAAGGACAAACTGAAACCTCTATGGAAAAACGAATCCATGCAGACAAATTGAATCCTGCATTCTCTCTCTCCACCTCTCAACTCAATGGCATGGATGGCCTTCAGAATAAGACGGTGCTAATCATCATAGAGCTGAACATATACCCGACCCAGGACTCAGAGAAGCTGTGGGCCAAGTTGCTACTCCATTCCTGGTACCTTTCAGAGCTACATCTATTCTGCTTGTCAACTCTCACAAAATTCTTCTTTCTTTCTTTCTTTTTTTTTTTTTTTTTTTTTTGTGTGTGGTGGTGTCTTGTTCTGCCGCCCAGGCTGGAGTGCAGTGGCATGATCTCGGCTCATTGCAACCTCCACCTCCTGGGTTCAAGCAATTCTTCTGCCTCAGCCTCCAGAGTAGCTGGGATTACTGGTACATGCCACTGCATCTGGCTAATTTTGTATTTTTAGTAGAGCCAGGTTTTCACTGTGTTGGCCAGGCTGGTCTTGAACTCCTGACCTCAAGTGATCCACCCTCCTCGACCTCCCAAACTGCTGAGATTACAGGTGTGAGCCACCAGGCCTGGCTGTTTTTTTATTTTATTTTTTTAATTAATTTCACAAAATCCTTATGGCCTAACCCTAAAATAGTACAAAAGAAAGAAGAGAATTCAGAGAGGTGTGGCTCTAGCTTAGCTAATGATGACCCAGTACAAATTCACTATAATTATTGTTAAGTGTTGCTTTCAGAGTGGCCAAATAAAGTTTATTCCAGTAATACATAGAAAGGTAAACATTAGAAAATCTACTAAAGTAGGCTGGGCGTGGTGCCTCACACTTGTAATGCCAGCACTTTGGGAGGCTGAGGTGGGTGGATCACCTGTGGTCAGGAGTTCAAGACCAGCTTGGCCAACATGGTGAAACCCTGTCTCCACCAAAAATACAAAAGTGGTGTCAGACGTCTGTAATTCCAGCTACTCTGGAGGCTGAGGCAGGAGAATCACTTGAACCCAGGAGGCGGAGGTTGCAGTGAGTCAGGATCGTGCCACTGCACTCCAGCCTGAGCAACAAGGTAAGAGTCTGTCAAAAGAAAATAAAAAAAAGAAAGGAAAGGAAAAGAGAAAGAAAAGAAAGAAAGAGAGAAAGAAAGAAAGTCTACTAATATAGATTTTAAAATAAAAAAAAATGAAAAAAAAAAAAAGA